CCTCCTCCTCCTCCTTCTTCTTCTTCTTCTTCTTCTCCTTCTTCTTCTTCTTCTTCCCCTTCTTCTTCTTCCCCTTCTTCTCCTCCTCCTTCTCCTTCTTCTCCTTCTTCTTCTTCTTCTGTACCCAGATCTGACTTTAGACTGCCAAAATGAAGCCACCTTCTTAGCTTTGTCATTGGCCAAAAATAAGTCATTTCTGGTAGTAGCTGACATACCAGCAGATAGGCTGGGCTCTGAGTCTGTCCGCAACCACGCAGCCTGTTGTTCAGGGGTGGGATGCAAATATTTTTGCTACCTTTTCTGTGGGTGTGGCTAGGTGGGCATGGCCCTGTGACCGAGTGGCCGTGGCTTCTTTTTTGTATGCAGCAACCCCCCCTCGCTCCGTTTTTTTGCCTCCTGGGCCTCAGGGAAGCCTCCTGGGCAAAGCAGTAAGAGAAGCGAGGGGGATCCCGGCACAGCTGATTGTTGGAACAGCTGATCGGCGAGAGAAAAAAAAAGAAATACTGATTCAGTCGAACCAGTAGCTGTTTTTTTACTACTGGTTTGGCTGAACCGATAGCTGTTTTTTTACTACTGGTTCGGCCAAACGGTAGCATTTTTTACTACTGGTTCATCTGAACTGGGCCAAACCGGTAGAATCCCACCACTGCTGTTGTTATCCTCTAAAAACCTGCATTTGAACATATTGGTCTTATGCTTAAGACACTCAAGCCCCCAACCTATTCAGGGTCCTCCAAGTAGTATAAAGGGAGGTTGGATCCTTCAGCCAGGTCCTCCTTTAGTGTTATTTCTAGCTTGACGGTCTCCTTCCTCCATCTTTTAATTCGGTTTTATTCTTGGGTATCCTCAGGAATGCTTGTTCTTGCCATGAAGGTGTTCCAAAATCTGAGTTGGCAGGCTTGGGGCATACCTGGGAAAAAACCTGACCTTGGTGGCCAGATGTTAATGTCCTGTTTGCTTCTCCAGATCCTCATGGGATTGAAGCAAAAAGGAAGAAGAAGAAGCCCGAATATATGGACCATTTCAACTTGACTCCTTCAGCAGGTCAGTGTGTGATCTCCCCATCCCTTGGTCAACCCCACACGAAAAAGCTGTCTCCTAACCATGAGCATTTCCATAGACTTCAGATCCCAGAATTCCCTAGTCAACATAGCCATAGACTAGAACTCTGGGAGTTGAAGTCTACACATCTGGAAGCGGTCAAGGTTGGGAAATACTGGAACCGTCTGAAGATCTTCCTCCAGTACTCAGTTGAAGTGGTCCCCGATCCCTAGAAAGAGTCTCATTCATGGGCTGGAAAGATGTTGGGAAACTCCCAGCCAGACTGGAAGGAGGGGTCAAGCAGGGAACTAGCCTTGAATCTTTGTGCAGCTGCAAGAGGCATAAGTCTGACTCCCACTAAGTTCTATAGAACCATATCTGGTTGTTTCCAAGGGGGATTCCTGTAATAAAGGTAGAACGCAATAAAGTTGTCGCCTTAGACCTTTCACGAGTGGATCTTCTCCAAGCAGCAGAAGATAAAGGAAACTGGTGGCCATGGTAATGTCACCAAAGCCTCACCCATATATTGCATGTAAAAGAGGCTGGGATTTTACTGTGTAGTTGCGTTCTTTAACTTAACCCATCTGTGGTATGTGGATTCAAAGACTATTGCCCTACGATCCACCCTTTTGCCCAACTAAAGGTTACAACCAGACAAACAGAAAATGTTTAGCAATACAGGCAAAGGTGGTATTCAGCAGGTTCTGATTGGTTCTGGAGAACTGGCAGCGGAAATTTTGAGTAGTTCGGAGAACAGGCCAATCCTACCTCTTCTGACTGGTCCCGCCCCCATCTATTCCCTGCCTTCCATTGAGTCCCAGCTGATTGGCTGGGTCTTCTTTTGTTGCCCTGCACAGGAGAACGGAGCTGGAAAGCAGGTTAGTGGGGTGGGGAGGGAATGGGCATTTTGCAGTAACCTTCCCCCATGTGATGACCCAGAGTGTAACACAAACGTAACAAAATCCAAAACATAAATAAATGTCCTTTAATGCCTCCAACTTGGCCCTACTGTTCAATACTTCTCAGTTGGAGATAAAATGTATTCAAAAACAGTCTTCAAAAGAAAGCAATACAGTCCAAACTTAATGAGCAGATAGGGGTGAAATAAAAAATTAAAACAAACTACAATGAAGGAATTTCCAGGATAACGGACCAGGATAAATAATTACCAACTTCAAGGAGATAACAAGGCACAATCTGTTGAAAGGACACCAACCAAGATAACTTCAGCCCAAAATAAAACACACTTTGCTTCTGGCAACACTGTGTTTTAACTGTCTTTCTTATATACTATTCTCCCCAGCTGCAACCAATGAGGGGATCATGGCCACTTCCTCTCTCATAAGCCAAGTTGTTTCTTTCTCCGTTCCTCCCTGCATGTCCTAGGATGAAGAGGGGATGGGCCTGGTTCTTCCTCTGACTGTCCAGCCAGCCTCTTCCCTTCCCCAGCCTCCTCCACAACCTCCGGAGCCACACTTCTGCTCCCTGTCGGCTGTTCCTCCTCTCCCTCAGAGTCTGACTCTAACAAGGGCATGACATCCCAGGAGTGGGGAGGGAATGGGGATTTTGCAGTATCTTTCCCCTGCCACGCCCAACAAGCCACGCCCAACAAGCCATGCCCAACAAGCCACGCCCAACAAGCAACACCAGGCCCACCAAGCCACGCCCACAGAACCGATAATAAAAATCTTTGAATCCCACCACTGAATACAGGTAGTCCTCAACTTACCACCTCTTCATTCAGTGACCATTCGAAGTTAACAACTGGTTAACTACTGGTTGGCAACCACTGTCTTTAGAGTCGGCGGCACCCAAGGAATGCCGACATGGTCACTCCTAATAAATCAATTTTTTTTTAACTCTGAGAGATGCGGCTAGAGACTTATGATTTGAACGGGGTGTACTGTCGGAGCCCTGACACCCGAATCCTGCTCACAAATTTCGTTTCATTTTCCAGACTTCTCCCTGCCCTCTCCAGACGACCGGGGTTTCCAGGCCAGCATGGAGCGCATCACGTTGCCGGATCTCTTTGAGGAATTTGGTCGGTTTCCCGGCTTTTCACCTTACAGCGGCCCCAGCTTGAGCGACGTGGTGCTGCCTTCTTTGACGAGCTACGAAGAGAGAGCGGAACGGGAATTCTTGCTTGATGCTTATTCGGTCCATTCGGGCATCACCATCCCTCTGCCGCTGCCTGGAGATTGTGATCCTGAAGGTGTGGCGACCTTGGTGGGAAGCAGCATGTTTCCCAGTCAGTACAAAGAGGACGAAGAAGATCTAGAAATGGAGAACATCGCAGACGTGTGACGGAAGGGCCCTTGTCTCTCCACGTTGGGGAGAAACCAGGAAAAAGACTTATTCCTTGCTGACAACCGAAGGAGGGAAAAGTTGGTAGTGATCTCTGCGGGACGGCACTCTCTGTGAGAAGGCGACTGGAGAAAACATGGAAGGGAAAAAGATCGCACTCCTTGTGGAATAATCCTAGAAGAGAAATGGCATCTTCGAGCGGGAGGGACTCTCTGGGCGCACTTCCTGTTTTCTCTTCCTCGACTCTCTCACAGCGCGTAAACTCCGAGCAGCGAGAACTGGAGGGATCTTCGAATTCCCGTGACGCTGCAGGATGGTTCCTCGCCTTTGGCTTAGTGTGCACAAACCTAGGTTGAAAAATAATATACGTAGTCCTCGAATTACAACCACAACGGAGCCCCCAAATTTCTGTGGCTGAGGGAGTACGTTGGCGAAGTGAGTTTTGCCCCGTTTTACGATCTTTCTTGCCAGCGTCCTTAAGTGAATCCCTGCGGTTGTTAAGTCAGTCAGACAGGGGTTAGGTGAATCTGGCTTTCCTCTACTGACGGCTTGTCAGAAGGTCGCAAAAGGGGATCACGTGTTCCCGGGACGTTGCAACTGTCATAAGTACATGCCAGTGGCTAAGCATCTGAATTTTGATCACATGACCATGAGGGACGCTGCAACGGTCGTAAGTGTGAAATACAGTCATAAGTCACTTTTTTCAGTGGGGTTGTAACTTCAAAACGGTCACTAAATGAACTCTTTTAAGTTGAGGACTACCTGTATTTTAGGGCTTAGCATGATGTCAAAACACAACTGAGGATGTTTGGTCAAAGAAATCAGTCATGCACGCCACTGTTTTCATGCAATGTGTGTTATCAGTCACTGAACTATTCCTTAATATGTGTGTGTGTGTGTGTGCATGCACCCAGATATAAAAAAAGCCATATCAGTGCCTTTGAGCCAGGGACAAATGATGGAGTTCCCTTTCCACACACCCCCAGGACAGTTAATCCAGACCACTTGTTGAATATTTTTTGGATTTTGGCTTCTTTTAACAGTTTCTGTACACATGACATAATAGAGCAATAGCACTTAGACTTATAGACCGCTTCACAGTGCTTTCCAGCCCTCTCTAAGCAGTTTTACAGTTAGCATATTGCCCCCAAAATCTGGGTCCTCATTTTACCGACCTTGGAAGGATCGAACTCCTGGCAGTGGGCAGAGTTGGCCTGCAGTGCTGTATTCTAACTGCTGCACCATCACGGCCAGTATAGCAATAGCACTTATAAACTGCTTTTCAGTACTTTATGGCTCTCTCTAAAGCGGTTTACAGAGTCGGTCTCTTGCCCACACAATCCGGGTCCTCATTTTACCCACCTCGGAAGGACGGAAGGCCGAGCCAACCTTGAGCCAGTCAGAATCGAACTGCTGGCAATGAGCAGTGTCAGCCCGCAATACTGCTTTCTAGCCACAAGGAAGGAAGGAAGGAAGGAAGGAAGGAAGGAAGGAAGGAAGGAAGG